GGTAAACGAAACGTTCCGAAGTCATACTCAGTATAAAACCAAGGTCTTACAACTGAGAATGAAATAAGGTAGCCGAATACAACCAATGGTTTCATTTGCTAAGGAAAAATTTTACGAAACCATGACTTTAAATAAAAGAGGTTGTTGAAATCTTTGTAACATCCACTTATTTGTGAGGAGCCAGTGAAGGAATTAAAATTTATTTAATAACAACACGTTCTTCAGTAACGAAAAGGTTTAGAGTTAATGAAATGCTGACTTAATCGAAATTTTTGAAATTCCTTTTCTTATTTTTAAAAAAACTAAATTCTTGAGACATATGTTTTTATTAAATTGTTCATAGCAGAAAAAATCTATTTTCCAATGTCGTAGGACATCTTTAAATGAATTCATAATGAGTTTATCCAATTTCATTCACCCGAAAAAATGTGTAAGAGTCTTTATCATACCTATTAAATCTTTACATGACATCGTAAACGTTTTCTTTATGCTTTTGTTTATCTTTGATACCTGTCCCTTTTATAAAAACCATAACTAAAAGCATCAATGTCTTCTTAAAATGGTTCATATAATCAGAACAAGGTTTGGAAAATCAATAAAACTTTATTTACTTCTGTGTAAAATTTGAAAAAAAGTGAGTTACATTAAAAACATTTCCTTGCAATCACTCAAATGCTCAAGAATTTTCGGTCTTTCGTGTATATTTTTATGTTTTATAATTTTCGAACTTCCTTCAATTTAGCTTTTCGTGCAGACATCATATTGTTCTATGCCAAAAACATGAAGAAAAAAAATAATAATTACGTTGTATTGGAACATCATTGTCATTTTTAACACCATGTCTTTAGCATGCAATATATTTTTGAATAATTTACCGATCTTCTTCCAAAAAAAAAACACTATCTCTATTGAAAGAGTGATAAACTGTTGCATGATATCACTCCAGGTCCTTAAAATGGTGTTTATAAATATTCTGATAAAGTTCAATTACCATTACTGCTCTGATTTCCCGATATACTCAAAATTTCTGGAATCTAGAAAATCAGAACTATCCATTCTTATTTAAGACATGGCAAAACAGATCCTGACTCAGCAATTCTATGTTAAAAACAATAGGTCTTTTCACAAAATACGTGCTTAATTTCCCCCATTTTTTAACACTGTTTTAAAAATAAATGATTATAAAAGATGTAGATAGTTCTTTTTACCTAACATGCCATCAAGATTATACATTAAGTACATGTAAAATCAATGAAATAAAATCTGCTTTATCTGGGGAGACACCTACATGTAATGAAGGAAGACTTGATTTCATTTCATATATATTTTTTTATATAAATTCTTTTATTTTTCTTGCATACATGTAGGTGTTATTAGAATGGTAAAAAGTTTCAGTTAAAGAACGATTCAGTACAATGAAATTTTTTAAGGGGAAATGCATGTTTAAACATTCAAAAAACCTGATGTGAATTTAATAAATATATTTTTTTTCAATAAAATTGGAACTCGTCAATTTGCTTACCTTGTTACATGTAATATCTTGTACTATCATTTGCACAATTATTTTTTTTTAAGCATTCTGATCGTACAAACAAGTAATCTGAAATTGATAATTAACAAGATGCTTGAGTTTCTGATAGACAATATATACGTGTTTTTAAGACCAGGTCTTCCTACAATCTATTGGAATTCCCATGTGTACCAATGGCACCAAGTTATAAGCAGACCTATTTTTCTATCCACGTAAGGTAAAATTTATCCAAAATTTTAAAGATACTCATACTGATATTTAGGTAAAGGAATGTTTTTTCAAGAAAAACAAACAAGCATAAAAAAGAAATTTTATCTGGTTCATGACCAGTTTATTTTGATAAAGCTTTTTAATAAGATTACTTATTACTTGACACTTTTTAAAGAACATTTTGTCTGTTTCATTTGCTGTTAGCAAACACAATAGAATATGAATTAAATGTATTAAAACCCATAATAAAAAAATTGAAACAGAAAGAAAACTGGAAAAAATTTAATGAAATATAAAATTACTTGCAATTTGGCTCTCATCTGACGTTTTTTTTTAAATTAATCCATTCATTTCTTGGTTAAAATCCGTATAATAAAATATTCACTTTTATCATTCAAGACACTAACAATTACTTGTAATAATTACGGTCCCAAATTGCAGGCATGTAGATATAAATGACAAAATTGATTGATAGCCAAGAAAAGTAAGAGCAAATTTCAAGATTGTTAATATCAACCATAAGCAGTTTGACAGTAAAATAGTAAGAATTAGATAAGTTCATATTCCTTTCATGTAGAATTACCGTCAGACTAGGAGTAGAATAATTGTCAGATTGAGGAAATCTTTAACTGCAATGGTCTTGTCCTTTACAAAAATTTGAATTTTTCAATTAAAATTTGTATATGACAATTAATTGTCATATACAAATTTTAATTAAAAATTCAAATTTTTGTAATACCCAGAGAGAGAGAGAGAGAGAGAGAGAGAGAGAGAGAGAGAGAGCTTTCTAAATTTTTTTTCCATGCAATGCAATGAAAAAAACATTTTGTAAAAACGCTTTATTGTTTTTCGGCTGAGCATTAGACAATGATATCCATTTGTTCCAATACATTACATCTGTATACTAGACACAACTCTCTATTCATGTTTTCTTCTGTACACTGTAGACACAACTCGCTATTCATCGTTGTGAATTAAACGTTTGCCTTCTCAGTAGCAATATATATCCAATAAAGATAAACCATTTGTTCCTTATATTGAGCTTGGCAAATGTCTTATAGCCATATAACAACCCTTGAATAACCATCTTTTCTGAAAACCACTGTTCTGACATGCACTAGTCACTGTTTGCCCATATATAAAGTTGAAGATTATCTTTGGTGATCCACGAGGTTATAAGAGAAACAGTCTCCGAGATAAAATCAAAGAATTTAAAGCGATGACTCTTATATCGTACAGTGTTCATCCATCGTCTTGGGGTCCATACCCGTCTAACAAACATCCGGTCGCTCAAATTTTGTGAAACAATATTGAAATTGTCGTGCAGTTGCTTATTTTGATTTGATATGGCTTTCTAAAATGAACGATGTTATGTTTATTAATGTTTATTAGGCTTGATAAGGATGAAACAAACAAAGTTATTATTGTTTAATTGTTTAAAGTTTAAATACTCCTTTTTCTGAGTTAAACTTGTTTTTATTCAGATTCTTCTCCGTAAGCTTGATAAGGATAAAAACATTGAAAACTATGCTTCCCGTTCGTTTTTTTTACAGGGATTATTTCTAATTTTTTTTCTTTTTTTCTATACTTAATGTATACCTATCAAGATTTCTCTTGTTTGATGTTATTATCTGAAATTTCTGCGAAATCATCACTAAATTCTTTCCTTGTGATATTTGATGAGTTTGGCACCTCTGATGGTTTGAAGCTCATGTTTGCTCTGCTCCAATGTTGTATTGTTTAATTGACTTTTGAGCTTGAATACCGTTTATTTTCTCCATATATTTCATTTCAGAAAGAAGTAAGACACTAGAGAATTTTCTTTCTTCTAGTTCAGAAAAAATCCCTTGGAAAGGTGTTGATAGCAATTTCATTAAGAAAGATCAAAAGCAATACTTTGATATACCGGTAGTATGGATAAAACAACACTATGCTTCCAAGTTTTTTTGTGTCTCGATCATTCCATTTCTTCTAATGGTAGGTTCAGTTCGAAGTAAATGACTTCTTTGTGACAAGAAATCACATCTTTGATAAAAATTTGACAAAAATGCAGGATAAGAGACAATCAGCTTTCGAAATCGAAACAGAATACTAAAACCAGAGTACTTTAAGTCATTTTCTTTTCTAAAAAATAAATAAATAGGCAAAATTTTGCTTTTATCATAAGTCTCTTCGGAAAGATAATTCGGATTGATCCGTAATCTGATCAGTCATTGCCATTTTGACAAGTATTGTCTAAAAAGATTTTTTTTTATCGTGAAATGATACTTCATTCAAAAACATGTCATTATGTTGAGAATCAGCTCTTTGAAACGTTAACTCTTATTACAAAATTAAACTGAACCTCGCGGACTATAAATCGATACAATGATGGGTTTTCTGGATAAACACCGTGTTGCAGCGATCGGCACGACAGTCGCACAATTGAGTACTCATCGAGGAATAATATAACCAAACAGTGAGTGCCTTTGTACTTCATTTACTTATTGCATAAGTCTTATGGGGTCATTTCTAAATATGTTGACTATATATTATATCTTTATTCATTTAAGATTATATATAATAATTTATATAATAATTTATGTTTTTTTTTATTCTTAAAAGAGAGATCCTAAAACTTTTGCGAATTATGGAAAGCGAAATTTAAAATATAATGAATGATCTAATTTTTAGCTAAATATTTGAACACAAGTTTCTACCGATCACGGTAACTCAGTCGGTAGAGCCCTCGCTCCGTGATTAGAAGGTCAACAAAAAATGGGTAGCAGCTGTTCTTTCGCCATGCCCTCGGCACTTTGAAGTGAAAGTTGAGGGTCCTTCGAATAAGACCTTAAAAACAGAGGCCCCATATCACTGTAGGCGTTGACATGATAAAGATCCCTCGGTGCTCCATGGCCCTGAGTGCCGAGTACGAGTCTGGGACGTAAAACAACATACTGTACATGTACAACCATCCATAAAGTTTCCACTGTTAGGATGTTATTATCACCTATTCAAACATCGGAAGCTGAGTCCGGTGGCAGGAGGAATAAGTTATCCCTGTCGACCAGTCACACCCGAGATGAGCTCCTTGCAATTGTCAGTATCAGACAAATGAAATTTTGACTTAAGTTTGAAAATAATGGCATTACAAACAAAACTAGTACTTCGTAAAAACACTGACTAATGTTTCACGTTTGCGAGTATGTATTTGTGTTTTTTTTTGCAAGTAAGAAATATAATTATGCATGATTACATTCTTTATTCTACAGCTAAAATGTTGCATGTTTGCCAAATGGTTTTAAAGATCTTTCTTCAAGAAGCAGAAAGACAACTGTACCTAACATGAAGATTAGTGTGAGTAAAAGTTTCAATTAAATTACTAGATAAGACTTGATTAAAGCCAACTGTAAGAAGGTTTGTTTGGTATTATCCTCCTTTTTTATCCAGATATAAAAATAGTCTAACCCTTGACTAAAATTTGGTTTGATAGACCATATTTTTTACCCTTTTAACTGAAACATGACTATTATTTGCTTATGAAAGGATTTCATTTCCCTAATATCGTCTGAAAATATCAGAATTTAGGATATGTTCCACATGCTCGTATTCCACCAAGTTCAAATGTGTAAGACGATATTTGAAGATTCATTTTTTATATCGAGTTATAGACTCAGTTCAATGGCCATTGTTAATACACTGGCATTCCAATATAATCACTTTACTATGACTCTGACACACACTTGATCGTAAGCCTTAGTGACACAACCAAGTTATTCTTTTCCCACGTCAGAACAGATACATTAGGTTTTTGAACCTATATGTATCTATAAAAGCGTAACATTTTATGGTAATATCAAACTGGATGCTCCGAAGGGATATTCAGTTTCAGACATAATGAAAAAGACCAGATTTAAAGGCGAGTAAAGTATCGCTATATAATATCCAGTACATCGCTACTAACTCTGTATATCAGATTGAGGAATTACGTGTAGTATTTAAAACAATTGTTGAACATAAATGTTTAGTTTTAAAATTTTTTTTTACTTTTCCTTTAAATAACTTGTTTTCTACGTGTTTCTATTTCTTTAAAAAGCTTTGTTTTTCATCTACTGTAAACTTAAAAAGTAATATGAAATATATTGACGTACTATAAAAAGATATATCTTGCTTTGAAAATGTATGTAAGTATTATTGCAAATACAAGCTATAAGTCTGCCGGTCAATATTGTGGCTAGAAATTGACCTTGTGTATAAAAAAATGCAATCAACATAATTATAAGAATGCAAATATTGCGTTAATGAAACAAATAACTGAAATACATGTTCTTATCAAGAGCGCGTGACAATATATAATAAAGAAGCTTAATTGCAGCGGTAATAAAATGGTCGGATATTGCATGTAGAAGCATTATGTTAAAAATAGAAATTGCTTCAAACTTGTAACACAACACAAAATGTAACAACAAATGAACAGTCTGAATATAAAAGAATTTTTTTCATGTCAAATTAAAAAGCACAATTCAATTTTTTTGGAAAAGAATTAATCTTTTCTTTCAACATTTTTTTTTCAACCAGTCCAATCTGTAAGCTTCAAATCATATTCCTCTATTTGATTAAAAAGCACAATGCAATTTTTTTTGGAAAAGATTAATCTTTTTTTTTTTTCAAAAAATAGAACATTTGTTTTTTAAAAAGCACAATTCAATTTTTTGGGAAAAAGATTAATCTTTTTTTTTCAACATTTTTTTTTCAACCAGTCCAATCTGTAAGCTTCAAATCATATTCCGCTATCTGATATATTGTCACTGTGTTATGTTATATGAATCGTTTAAGTTACTGGATTTTAATGGTTTTCTTTTTGAAGAGAATCATCTTGACTAAAATGAACAGGAAAATTTCTTGTAACAGAATCGTAGTGCATATGCAATTAATTTTATTTCCACAATATAAATTTTGTGGAATCATTTTGAGGCCAAATATTATAAGTAACAATTATAATGCATTATTGCAGGAAGAGGAATACAATTGCTTTTTCGATAAAAATAGAACTCAGAAATCTTGTTGGTATAAAAAGGAACCGGAGAGCCTCACTGACAACATACATGTAATGTTGGGAATCCAAGTTTCCTAACAAAATTCATGGTTAATGCCAGGCTGGTGCTCAGTTTGACACAAAGAAAACACAACTAAATGTTAAGGAATGTGAATGGTCATCTATATAACTAATAAATGTAAAGTATAATCCCAAGAAAAACATATAAAACAGTTAAAGATATAACAAACTAAAAGCACAATATAATACCATACTCGTAATTCAAAAGAGGAGGAAGTGGCTTTTTAAACATTCCAAAAACGCCACAACCCTAATAATATATAGAATATAAAAAGTATTGATACTAGAATATACCTAAAGTTACACGACAAGATGGTTTGGCAAATTGTGTCTTCATCATATTTTTTATATTTTACTGACTAGAGATGATGAGCCAACTAGCAAAATCACTGCATAGCTAAGGAGATGACTTCAGCATTCCCATTTTCAATTTTCGATACTTATGTGATATTATACCACTGTCATCTACTTATGGTATTTCCCAACTTATTCGCTACTCAGAGGCATGTTCTAAATACGATAATTTTTTTTAAGCCCAATTGCAGGCTTTCAACAAATTATCTTGAAGTAAGCATACGAACACGTTAATTCCATAGCCGTTATAATGTCATTGTAAGCAAATACAGCTCATCAACGTTTAAGGCTGACTGGTTTCATACAAATTGTTGAGCCTTTGTCTTTATGACTTTTTTTTTTTGAAAATTTGAGTGCTGTATGTTTTGTCTACTTGATCAATGCATGTAGCTCAGGGTGGGTGTGTCCGATCAATGGGGGTGGGGGTTGGGGGTGGGGTGTGCTTCTTCTAGTTACCTGATCAAACATTTGATATATCTACAAGTTGACGTTTATGTCCTGCTCAATTTTTGTGTTATTTGCAATTTTTTTTTATATCGATCACTGTATTTTATCTTCACATATTTCATTTCTCGTATGAATACAGTTAAACTGTCCAAATATTTATTTAAATAACTTATTTTCTGTATAATTTTCTCTGCCAGTGTCTCATATCCTGTCAAATTAAGTGTGACTGCTAATATGGAAAAACACGAAGTCTGAAATAGCCTCGCGTTTTTGAAGTCATCATAGAATTTATCTCAATGATATTAAAAATAGTCTTGGCAATCCAGTATTCTATTAAGCGTATTTTTGGTCTTACCATAGCATCTTAGATATCCTCTTATATAATATAAGAAAGACATAATCACAGAAAATTTGCAGAAATAATGACAAGGCAAGGTAATATTTCATTTCTTATTTGAAAAAAGGAGAATTTTAAGGTGAAATAACTTTATATAAACAATGTCCTTGTCAGCGCTAGCAAATACAACTTTATCATTGAGTCAAGCGCTGACTGACGTTTTTCATACTTATTGTTAGTCCATTATTTATAAACTGAATTGACGACGTATTTTCCCGTTATTTTCCGATCATGACAAGAAGCACACGGCTTGTGTGACCGGTCTTGATCCCACCTCTAATGTTTGGAGGTTCGTGTTTGCTCTGATCCTATTTTGTATTGTTTTATGGACTTTTTTCTTGATTACAGTTCGTTATCTCTATATGTTTCTTCTTAACTAACCCAACTGAAATATGCCTTATTGCTATTCCGTTTCACACGCTTATAACGAAATGCCAGGGACAGACAATTTTGCTTCGTTATAAACATAATTCGTTATATATAGCCCTTATCCTCAAAATATGTTTTAAACCCAAGGGGAATTAAAATAACCTCGCTGCAAGCGTCAGTTCACAGCGATTTTGCTACATGCACGTTTTACTGTATAATATATATTTTTTAAATGAGAATTTATTGTATTGTTGGACAAATTTTTCCTAAAATACATTTTAAATTAATCTCCATCCCCCCCCCCCAAAGTTCGCGGGAAAAAGCTATTTTTAGCATTAAGGTCACAGTCCAAGTCACAAGGTCATTGACCTTGGTGTCACTGAAAACAGAAAAAATCTATTGTCAGGGAAATTATTTAGAAGAGATGCTATTAGGCATTCATAAGTTTCATAAATTTATCATGTTTGAAAGTCTGTAACATTAATAAAAACATGTTTATAAAAAAGCGAGGCAATCTAAAATCGAATTTGTATTGCCTAAAAATGACACCATTCTTCTGAACAACTTTATTGTGTCGAAGCTTTTAGAAGAATTGTTCAGAGAAAAGGGTCTACAGGGAAATTAAATATATTACTGTCTGATTAACTTCCCAGTTTTATGTTTTACCATATGTTTTAATCAATAGAGTTCGTAATTATTTTTAAAATTAATTATAAGGGTTATTCTGACGTATATTTGCTCTTACTACTAGTACTGAACAAAAAAAAATAGGTGAGTAGAATTATAAGGCCAACGGTGTATAATCGTGCCATTTCAAAGTATTGGGGGGAAATGCAAGTCGTCTGTACGATGAAAAATATCGTTTGTACGATTAGGAAATTCGTTTCTATAATAAAGGAAATCTTTTAAACGATTCAAAAAAGATGGAAATGAATATGCCATTTTCACATGACTATTTGGAAGAAATTTTACTTTTTGGCCTATCAATGACCCTCCCTCCAACAAAATTTATTTGTTTGGGTCCGATGGTTGAAGATAAAAAAGAGAAGGTTACGAGCAATTTATGAAATGATATTATTTAAACATAGTTTGAGATCAAAATCTGATGACCCGAAGCTGTTTTTATTAAAACACTTTTATTAAGTTGAAATGCAGCGCATCTTGCAACAAGACTAACTATTAAGTAGATTTACCATAAGTCAAAACTGTGAAATGTATTGTGCAACCAAATACTCTTCCTCAACAATGCCATCAACCATACTTAACGTTAACTACTTAAACGAGTAAAGTTCTTTAAGATAATATCTTTAAATTTGAAAAATATAGAGAACGGAGTGTTTTCAAATGCAGAACTTTCAGGTAAAGTCATTTGTTGTTATTTATTTTTTTAAATTGGTCAAAATATTGACTTCAGTGTTCAAAAAACGAAGTATCGTTTTCAAGGGTGAGATATAAAAATATTAAAACAAAGGTATATAGAACCTTTCAGCAATGAAAAAGAATAAGAGGATATGTACAAACTCAGAAAATGCTTTTTTGAAGGAGAGGCACAAAACAAGTTTGGGATAGTTAAAATTGCTATTGTATATGATAACAAAAAGGTTGAGGGAGGATGCAACCAGTTTCTATAAAGAAAGGTTTTCATTTTTAATTCTTCATGTAGTTAAATTTTAA